AGACTATCAGGCATAACCCAAAATGCCCATCCAGGCAGTGGAAGAGAAGCTAGATGACTGGGACTTTTTGAATATTAAATTCTTATGCTCATCAAAAGGCGTCTTCAAAAGGGTAAAATGAGAACCTACAGATTGGGAGAAAATATTTGCCTATGACATATCTGACAAATGACCTATCTCCAAAATTTATGGAACACCTCAACACCTCAACACCAAAAAGACAAACAATCCAATTCAAAAATGAGCAATGGACATGAACAGACACTTCACTAAAGAGGATATATTGGCAGCCAACAAACACATGAGGAAATGCTCACGATCATTAGCCATTGGAGAGATGCAAGTCAAAACAACAATGAGATATCATCTCATCCCAGCAATAATAGTGAAGTTCAACAAAACATATGCTGGTGAGGTTGTGGAGAGATTGGAACTCTCATACACTACTGGTGGACTGCAAAATGATACAACCATTGTGGAAAACGATATGGCGTTTTCTTAAAAAAACTGAAAAGAGAAACACCATTTGATTCAGCAATTCCATTACTAGGAATAAATCCTAAAGAGGTGAGAGATAGGACACTAACAGACATATGTACACCCACATTCATCACAGCACAATTTACTATAGCAGAGAGATAGAAACAACCTAAACGCCCATCAACAGATGAATGGATAACCAAATTATGGAACATGCACACAATGGATTAGTATGCTACATTAAATAATAATGAAGACTACATGAATCATCTCACAATGTAAATGAATCTGGAGGATATTATGCTGAGTGAAATAATTACAAAGGGACAAATATTGTATGAGCCCATTACTGTAAAAAGTCAGGAAGGGTTTGCTTAGGGAAGGGAACTTACTTTGTAGGTTACCAGAGATGGGAAAGAAGGGAAGGGAAAATTTTAGAGTAGTCAGGGGCCACATGTTGATTTGTGTAAGGAGAGGGACGCTAAAGAAAGTGTCTGACCAGCATGATAATATTGGGGAAAGGAAGAACACCAAAATATGCACATAAGATATAAACAACAGAGGCAAATACTAATATATGCACAATACTGCATTACCACTAACATCAAACACCAGGCTACAGATAAATGCATAGACACCTGAGAAGATCAGATGGGGGTTGGTGAGCAGGAATGTATCCTAGACCAATGATAGATTTAGCTGAAGATAATCTTGCATAGACACTAGTGATACAAAATAACCGCAATAATTGTAGAAGCAACAAAAGACAGAGTAATCTCTCAGAGACAACCAAACACCTTGGGTCTGCCAACTCAGGACCATAGTATTGGGGCACACCAAGCTCAATTGGCACAACATAGTACATAAAAATCTTGTTCCACAACCTACTTTGGCGAGTAGCGACTGGGGTCTTAAAAGCTTTCGAGTGGCCATCCGAGATGCAACTAATGGTCTCCTTTCATCTGAAGCGAAGAAAAGTGTAGAAATCAAGGGCATTTGGAAACAATTAGTTCAAGGATATGATGGACCTCAAGATCAGAAGAACTAGATGGTGGGTAGCTACTAATGCCAACCACTCAGGAAGGAATCAAAACTGGAGATCCTGCATAGAGTTGAAGAAAAAACATGGAACAAAATTCAAAAACACAATAATGACCAGAATTACTGGGCAGATGGAGTCTGGTGGGACCCTAAAGACTACAGCCCTGGGATACCCTTTGGGCCTGGGATGGGACTCACCCCCAAGGACTGTCTCTCAGCCCAACAACAGAAAGACTTACATGCAGAACATTCAACCCAGGGTGATGCACCCACCTACTCTATGGAGATACACCCCTTGGAGCCATCAGCCATGGGGCACCAGAGGGGCAGCATTCACATAGAGGGAAAGCTGAACAGACAGAAGTGCAAAGGTAAGAAAGGCACAGGGATGGGGGATCACAGGAAGGGAAGGGAGGAGAGTGGATTAGGGTTGGGGATGGTAATAAGGGCATGAAATCGAATGTATACAAAGTGTTGAATGTAAAACAAATTTTTTTTAAAAAAGAGAGATTAAAAAAAAAAAAGCTTAGTGAATTAGGAACCCTATTAAGTGAATTTTAAACTCCCTTTCCCTTCATAGGATCAGGCTGATTGAGCTTCACATTCATGAATCATTAGATATGGAAGACATTTCAGGAATTACATAGTTCAAGTTCAAGCTTCTTATTTTACACAGGAGGAAACTGAGGAAAGTTGAAGTGAAGGAGCTTATTCAAGGTTATCATCATCATAAGCATTTGGGTTATTCCCTTGGAGGCTAGCTTATTATTATTTTTGAACAGCATATTTTAAGACATATACAAGACACATTCCAATGCAAAATAAGATATTTTACTACGATTTATTTCTTTATGTATAAACCACCACTTACTGGTGTTCTAGCCATCATCTGTATTAGCAGATGGGGGTTCTAGAACACTTAAAACTAAGCACAAATGAAGTCAGCATGATTATTCTCCAGAATCATCAAAATTTTTCTATTTCAAAATCCCAGATGCTAACGTGTCATTTTCAGGAGAAGCATGTTTCCTCTAATTTAGCGCTGTCATCTTATGTAGACAGGTGTGTGTGTCAAGAGGCATTATCCTGCAATATATGAGAGTTAGTTGGTTATATGTTTACACCATTGCCAGAAAATAGGTTGGGTAACAAAATGTTCATTAGCAGGGATCATGTGTTTCATCAAAGTCATCAATGCCTTAGTAAAAGCCTCAGCACAAAATCTATACTCAATAAATGTTTGTTGAGTTTGTACACAAATGATGAATGAGTGAATATAAAGGGCTAGAAATGTTTTAACCATAAAGCAATACAAAGAGAGGTTCATCATGAATGCTTATGAACCAACAGAGCAGAAACATGGACATGCACCCAGCCCCAGGGGCAGATCTGCCCAATCTCTACACAGAAATGTTGAAACATTCAAATACCTTCCCAGGGTTAGACTGTCCTACCTCAACTTATCAACTAGAAAATAGCCAGTGATCTCTAAGTGTCATACACTATTATCATCTTTGACAGGAGATGTGAATTGAGACAGAGACAGGGGCACCCTACATATGCCTTTTAATGGCATCATGAGTGCTTTGGTGTATTTTTAAAGTTAAACCTGTGTCTCCCCAAGCAAAACAAAAATTCAATGATCCTACCTCTGTGATAGCTCAAAGCAGAAATTCAGAGATTGATCTATTCATTGTTCCTCTTTCAATGTTTATTAGGTCATATACCATTTGCCAAAGACATAAACTTAAAAAAGACATAGGCTCCTGCCCTCAAAAAATTTTCAGTCTTCGAAGGAGGAGTAAGGGTACATAAGTAAACATACAATGACAATCAAGACAATCTTCAGGATAAGACTGAAGTCTCTGAAGTCAGACTACTGAGACTCAAGTCCCTATGTCACTAGCTGTATGACATTGAGTGAATTATCTAACTTCTCAAAGCCTGTGTCATCAAATATAAAATAGGGATAATAATAATACCTATCATACAAAGCTCTTAAGTGCATTAAATGAGATTATATATATATATATATATATATATATATATATATTCTTAATAGAATATGTAGTGTATTAAAAAATATATTAGCTATGATTGCAGAAGTTCTGACCCTTCTGCAGATGAAAATAATTCTCTTGAAGGACCATGAAGATGAGTCGGAATCAGTAGGCAGATGGTGTCTGGGATGATTGAGGTTGGAATGTGGGCAGCTAATCTCTCCTCTGTTGATCTCTCCTCCATGCATTTGACGGAACAAGTTTAAAGGCTTAGAGATATGTGGAAAACCACAACTATTCAATTCTATTGTAGCTCTCCCTAGGGGCTCTGGTGGTCTAGTGCCTAAGGCATTTGACTGCTAACCAGAAGGCTGGCAGTTCAAACCCACGAGCCACTCCTCGGAAGGAAGATTGGGCAATCTACTTTTTAGAGATACCACCTCGGAAACCCAAGGAGGGGTCTCTACGAGTCAAATCGACTCAATGGCAGTGAGTTTTTTTTTTTTTTTTTTGTCTCTCAGGGTTGATCAGAACACATGAAGAAGGGAAGATGATAAAGCAGAGCAAGAGATGCGAAAGGTAACCATGAAGCCTTGCTTTGCTTTGAAAGTTTTGAAATTCATTGGAAAATTTCAACCAGGTGAATGACACATTGGCTACAGAGTACACTACACTGACTCAGAGGACCCAAGACCAGAGACCGAAATTTGTTAGGAGGCTGTTTCGATAATGTGAAGGGAGAAATGATGAGAACCTGTGCTAAGAAAACAGCAATGGAGAGCAAAGAAAGTGATGAGATCTGAGAGATATTTAAGAAGAAAAGGGCAGAGCTTGGCAATTAGTTGGATGTGAGGCACAAAAGGCAGGGAGAAATCAAAGATGACTCTCAGATTTCCACTTTCAGAAACTGGATGGATGGAAAAGAAGATATAGTGTGGAAGATAACACGTTCCGTTTGGGGCATACTGAGTTTGGGTTCTTTATAAAACTTTCAGGGAGAAATGTCAAGTATGCATTTGGATAGAAAGGTCTTGCACTCAGAAGAAATATAAGATAGTAAAGTCATGTAGAAGATCCAAGAAGTTATTTTTATGTGTTGAAAACACTTGATTTAAAGCCATCTACAGAATCTATTTTTATTGTTGTTCAAGATGAGAACACTAAGACAGAAGTTATGGTTCTTTTAAAAGAACAGCTTTCCATTTCATTAAAATAGATGACCCATTTTGAGCATGAGAATAATGACTTCTAACATTTCTTACTACTCCAGTGCTATGATTCTATTGTTCCAAAACATGCTGCAAATCTGAAATTGCCTTTTAATGACACTAAGCTTCTGGCCTTTAGACTTACTTTGTGGTGTATGGAACAATTTTTAAATAAATGAAACCCATAACCTGTAAAAATTATCTAACCCAAACATGCAGCGATTATGCTTATTGAAAAGGAAAGCCAAGTAAAGACACTATCTACATTTACCTACTCTGATCCCAATTGGCTGCAAACAGCAGAAGGATCTTCCTGCCATAGTGGTCGCAGTTTTCCAGCACTCCAGGGAACCCATCGATCAGAGCCCTCTTAATGCCAGGATCATCTGCCTTGAAGTTTTTGAACATGTCCAGATTTAGCTGGCGGTACTGGAAGTACTGGGCCAGGAGTCTAAAGGCATCTGCTTGGTGAAACTTCCTGGCTCGGAGAAACCTCAGAATGAAGGCATCATCTGTACGTAAAAACCCAATGTCAGGTCTGGTGATGATCATGTCCCTGACTTGCTGAATATCCTGATGTAAAACATCTGGATTCTCATTCAGTTCCAGGCGAGCTTTCTCTATAGTCTCTGGACTGAGTCCAGCCTGTAGGTGGGTCATCTTGGCCAAATCTCCTTTCCAACTGCTTAATTTCTGATATTTTGAAAGAAGAGAGACTGGTCCCATTCACCTGATGGTCTGCTGAATCTGTGGCCCATTCAACAGTGTTTTCACAAGACTGCCACCAAAAAAAGACAAAGAGGAGGTCTTCTTTCTGTCCCTGGAGAGGAGTAGGACATTCAGGCCTATGGGGTAATTTCCATCCAAGAGAGAAGCAAAACCGAGGTCATCATTTACTGCAAAACAAATACACACAAGAGAAACAAAACAGATGATACAAAGCAAGTCTAGGTCAGTTAAGTGGAGCTTAGGTGGCAAAGCAGTGTATTATGCTGCGGTTCTGATTAGGTGTTCAGAGAATAAATGCTAAATTATCCTTCAAATTAGCATAATTTTATTATTGACAAATTGAATGTATAACATAGAACTTTATAGTTACATTGACTAGTTAACATAATAGTATATGGTCTGGTTAGCAAGATTGTTCTTTTATTAATTACCCTAAGAAATAGAAAGGAGAGAGGAAGATCCTTCTCTGTTGCAGCATGTTTTATGGGGCTATTCACAGGCCTAAAGATGGCAGAGAAATTATGGCTGCCATACAATTTATTGTTCTTGTTAGCTTCTTCTCTCAAACAGAAGTGTCTTTCACAGATATATATATATATATATATATATATATATATATATTTTAAGACAGCCACTTGCATCTTAATGATACGAAGGAGGGACTATTAAAAGTTGTCTTACCCTAACCCCACATGTACCTACTCATTCAAAGGAGTCTTGCAATGGGGAGGGGATGGTTTATGGCTCAGAAATGAAATTCAGTAACCAAATTCAGCAGCAATGACATATATGGATATTTAAAAACTACTGTGTTATTTATATTTGTCACTTTTCTGCAAGGACAGCAAATATGAGAAACTCTTACTTGGCTCAACTTAACCCATTATTCACACAGGGTTAAAACCATTCCATTCTGCATCTTTTTTTTTTTTTTTTCCAGTTGTCTTGAGACACTTTGAGAACTACTCCTAAATGCATGCAGAAAAATACTCATACTACTTGTGTCTTTCTTATGTTAAAATGCATATTTAAGCTCTTTCAGACATTTATTTGGTCTAACTTGGAAGTTAAAACATCAGAAGAGATGCTTAATGTGAATAAGCTAGGAAGCATGTATGTTTTCCTAGCTTTCCTAGGTCAACAGAATCTGCAATAAGAGGCAGAATATTCACCCTCAACCTAATTATTATTGGCAATGCTTTATCATAAAAATAAGTTAAAAGACAAACAAGCATCCTGATTAGTTTAGGACCAGCAGTGATTTCTTAAGGGAGACAATCAGCTTATATTTCTGCTTTATATTGCCTTTCAGATATGGGGGAGATCAAGGAGAGGTCAAGTGAGTGGCATTCATTTCCAAGATAATAGAATTAGGAAAATAATTTATTTCTAAAATGTTGGCTTTGTTAAATAGTTTTTAAGAAAGCAGCACTTTGTAAGATATTGAAGCAAGAAGTAGAAGAGACACTTGCTTCTCACTGATTTTAAGTACCTACAAGAGTAAAATGAGCTCTGGTGGCGTAGTGCCTAAGGCATTTGACTGCTAACCAGAGGGCTGGTGGTTCAAACCCACCAGCTACTCCTCAGAAGGAAGACTGGGCAATCTACTTCCGTAGTGATACCACCTCGGAAACCCAAGGTATACTAGTAATCTTAATGCTGCACCAGCAAGAATAAACTAAGAAAAAAAAACTGTCAAAGATGACAGATGGTCATCTTCTTTGTTGACCTCTTTGAATGACCTCTTGGTCATTCAAATAAACATGCAATAGACAAATTTTATTATCTATTATGGGTGACCTTTATTTGACATTCATCCTTCTTCAAACTCTCTTACATTCTCTTACTCTTTTCTATGATTTCATGCCTCCAAAGTTTTCTTGTAGCTTTTTAGTCATTCCTACTTAGTTCCATCACTTCAGTGCCAGTGTTTTCCATTATCTGACCCATATCTCTCTCATGATCTTTAGGCTACCTATTCACCTACTTACTGAATATCCTTATTTAGATGTCTCATAAACATCACAAACTCAATACACTCAGTATTGAACTAATCACAGTTCCTCATCCTGAATTAATTTCTCCACCTCCATCTCATAGCAAATGATGTCATCTTCTATGAAGCTTTCCCTCCCAGAAACTTGGGAATTATTCCACCCTCTCCCTTACCACCACCCACTCCAAGGCAATCATTTTCATAATCTTTCTCAAGTCTGTCCACTTCTTTCCATCCCCTTTCACTGTCTTTGTTCAGGCCACATCAGTTCTCGTCTGCTGATCCCTACAGCATTCCTCATACATGTGTCATTGCTGTCAACCTTGCCCCACCCAAACCCATTCTCTGTATTACAATTGAAATCTTTTCATAACAGTCCTTGATTAAAATTGATCAGTAGCTTCCCATTCTCATAGGATAAAGTATAAACCTATGCATCACAGATTTTAAGACCCTTTATCATCTGGTCTTATCTGTTCCTCCATATTCACCTCTCCAGCCACACAGCCACACTGAACCACCTGCAGTACCTTCTTGCCTCCATCAGCTTTGGCAAAAGCAGCTCTCTTTTCCTAGAATGCCTGCTGGTGCATACCTGATTAACTCTTGTCTTCCTGACAGGACTCAGCTTGGAGGTCGTTTTCTCCAGGAAAGCCTCTCTGACCTTCAGAGGTCATGTGGCTTCACAGTCCTTTGTAAGGACAATACATCTTATTGCCATTTTTCTTTCCCCTTCCGTACTCTAAACTCCTTACAGACAAAAAATGGACGTGATTCATCTGTGGCTCCCCAGTACATGCCTGACACAAAGAAGATCAGCTCCTTGAATGTAGAGACCCCACTGTATTCATCACCACATCCTCAGTGTATAGAACAGTACCTGACACAGAGCAGGTGCTTAATAAGTTCATAGAGAATACCTTGACTAATTTGTCAAACTATTTTTTCAAATGAGTTAGCATTAAGTAGGTTTTTCCCCTCTAGTTGGATACCTCTAGGACTGTTTTCCTTAACTGAAGAAGTTGCTACAGATTTTTAATATCCTTCCCAATCCACTAAGTTTTTTTTTTTTTTTTTCCCCTCTAGGTGAATTTGGTCTAGGCACACTGTACTTCAGACCATTGCTTCCTTGAAGCATGCTGGGTAATGTTAATAGTTCCAAGCCATAGAGCAAGGCATGGCAACGGCTCAATCCCCCACTGAAGATTTAACACTGCTTGGAGAAAGTTACTTACCTTACAGTTCAGGGAATTCAACAATGGTTCCAAGATAAATTATTATGGGTTCAAGGGAAGAGTTGAGATCACATTTTTAATGGTCTGCTTCCACACTAGCTATGTCTCCAAACTATAATGGCTGAAATAAATTAACTTCAATCTATATCTTTATTCTGTGCTCAGCATAGAGTAAAATTTTCTGGGGAGAATAGGCAAGCTAGGGTCACTGGGTTTCATACTTAAGATGAAACAGATATTTCCCTTTAAAGGCAAATCCTTCATCTCAGAAATCTAAATAGACTGCTACTTTATAACAATTTCAATTGATAATATTTAAGGCACTAAAATTTCTCTGCTATGAAGGATTTTCTCTAGGATGTTACATTTTCAATTGACTGGACATCATGTGAAGGACTTTGTTCTCATTCAACTTTTCTGAATTGGTTTAAAAACTGTAAAAGGACAGATTGGATGAGATACCATATGAAAAACTGGGACTGGTATTTTTGTCCTGGTAGCATTAATAATAACACTAGCTGTAATTTATTATTTATTATAGCTGTGTTTGTTATATGCCAGGCACTTGGATAATCTCTTCTTATATATTACAATATGTAATCATTCGAACTAATGTATGAGATGAGTATATTATTGCCCTCATTTTTAGGGGAAACTGAAACATAGAGAGATTTTTTTAAAATGATTTACTCAATTTTACACAGATACTTTGAGGCAAAAATTGGATTCAAGCCCAGGTAATCTTTCTCCAAATCCCTTGTATGTTCTCTTTAGATGTTCTCTACTACTATGCTATTCTGCCTCATGTGTACTGAGAGGTTCTCATATTTACTACTTAAGAGCTATGTGACCTTTAGCAAGCCACACTCCTTCTCAGAACTTCATTTTTCTTCCCTAAAATCCTTTCCAGATTTACCTTCCTGTGAGCCTAAATGTGCTCAATGGATTCAAAGATTTTATTAGATAGCCTACTACTGTAAATTACAGGTGTCCAGTTACTATTTTGTCTTTATTTCTTCACTGAAAGATGACTGGAGATGTTTAAAATGCAGCTGCCGATGCCTTTTACAACTATCACTATTTTTTAAATCTTTCTTGATGTAGTTTCCTTTTGTGGAGTGACAACAGTGCCATTCAATTTGAGGGATGGATAGATACTTTGTCATGCTTAGTGGAAGACTAAGGATGTCAGGGCATTGAAATGTGCTTAATTACCAAAAAGGACACTAGATGCAGATTCATATGAGTATCAGAAAACCATCTCTCTCCCTGCTGGTTGGGCCCCAAGTGATTCTGTATTTATAGATTGTTCCAAAAATATGAAGAGCAACTCAGCAGCATCCTCTAAGGAAGCCAACATAGAGGCTACTTTCACTTTTCAACCATGCCTTGTGTAAAGGACTAGACATTTAAGTAGTGGTATTTTTTTTTAATGCGAATCCCAGGGAGGTGCAAATTTAATATGCATGGCTACTAACAAAAGGGTTGGTGGTTCAAGTCCACTCAGAGGGACCTCTGAAAAAAGGTCTGGTGATCTATTTTTGAAAACTCACCCATCGAATACCATATGGAGTTCAGTTCTACTCTGATACACCTGAGGTCACCATGAGTTGGAATCAACCCGATGGCAAATGGTAAAATATGGTAAATTGTTGAATTAGTGGGGAAAAAAAAAATCTTCATGTTGTGATATTTATAAATCATGTTAGCTTTAGACTCCAGACACATGGTCCATCTCAACTTTCCGTTAGAAAAATATCTATATTTCCTTAAACAGAATTCAGTCTTAAGAAGTGCATTTGTCCACATACACTCTCACCAACACACACCCAAGTTTTTAGAGATCAAAGAGTCTTGAAAAAATCCTTTTAGAAAGTACAGCAATTCAAATGAAATCTGTTTTGGTTATTTTATACTGTTGCTCTCATTTTTTTTG